TCCGATGCCATCCTAGATCTCGGGACGAGATCCTCTCGTAGTGGTGGAGTGTTGTAATGCCCCGGATACAACTTTCCATATTCGTAACTCCAACTCTTGCCTTTTCCGGAGATGCGATATTTTATTTCCTCCGTGGTTGGGTTTTGTCTGTTGTTTTGCATTTTGTTCTTGTCATGCATCTCGTCTCATGTCATCATTCGCATTGCATCGGCATTGTTTTCTTAAAACGTGCATCCGTTGTTAGTTGCCGCTTCTTCCTCGTCTCTGCTGACCTTTCTCAGACCGACCATTCTGTTTTTGCCTGACCGTTTGTCCACCCTCTCTACAATTTGCTCTGACCCCCTCGCGCGCATCCGAGACTTCCCCGAACCCGACCTGCTCAATCATCACCGTTGGATTCGGATCATCCCCTAACGTCTATAAAACATCTCCGCTTTCTCTTTTGACTCCCTAACCCATATATCTCGGGCCGTCCGATTACGATCAGAGGGACCGGATAGCCCTATGCTAAACCACCTGCTATATATATATGCAGATGAAACCCTAGCCCTGTCCCATCCATCCATCAAATCCTCCCCGCCGCCGCTCCTCTCTTCCTTGGGATCGCTCCCGATCCAAAATCCACCAACCAGAGCTAGCGCCCGATCCAGATCCTCTCTCGCCCTCCAACCACGTCCCTTGTTCTTCGCGCCACTCCATTCCTAGCCTCCCACGCGCAGCCGCATACCCGACCTCGAGCTCTCCCATAGCCAGTCGGCGCTTGATCCAGGTTGGATCGAGGCCACGGCCTTGCTCGCTTTGTCTCCTCCGCCCAAGCCACCGCACGGGAGATGCCCGAGCGCTCCTCCTCCTCGCGACCCGCGCTGCCCCGGCGAGCGTGCTAGCCGGCGACCTCGATCCCAGGACCGGCCTCGCCTCCCTTCTCCTCCATCCCCTACTTCCCTTTGCTTTCTCTCTCTCTCCCTCTCATCTCCCTGTTGCCTCTCTCTCACAGGGACTAGCAGGAGCGCCATGGCCGCCCGATGCTCAAGCCACCACCGGGAACCGCCCCTCCGCCGTCGCGTTGCTCCGCCCTCGCCGTCGTCCCGCTGCACTCGGATCCGCCGCCGCGCCCTGCCAGCCTGCTTCCTCTTTTGCACCGCGCCTGGCCCCCTGCCTCTTGTATGTATCCCCATCTATTATGTAATGTTGATGTAATGATATCCACCTTGCAAAAGCGTTTCAATATGCGGTTCTATCCTTGGTGGGACCTTCGAGTCTCTTTAGGATAGTATCGCATATTGGGCGTGACAGAGGGCTCTCCCCAGGCATTTGAAACCACCTCATTGAATCCAGGGAGGGAGGCCCAGAAGTTTTCAAATTTGAAGGACCTCGGCCTACGCGGCCCAACCACGTCAGCGAGCAGTAGGGGATAGTGATCGGAGAGCGAAGAGGAGAGAGCGTGCAGGATGTGATTGTCAAAATGGACATCCCATTCGGCATTGCAAAAGAATGAATCCAGCTTGCATAGTGTTGGGCTCTGCCGTTCGTTGCTCCAAGTGAAGCGCCGGTTGTGAAGGTGAATCTCTTTTAGCTCACAGGAGAGAAGAGCAGCCCTAAATCGGTTGATGCGGCTAACGTTAACATTTCTCTTATTCTTATCACGGGCCCGGTAAATCTGGTTGAAATCTCCAAGCGCGAGCCAGAGTACCCCTGGAGGGGGATTTAAGGCCATCGGGTCAGCGAAAAAACCATCCTTGAGGAAGGAAGCAGTGGGACCATACACTGAGGTGATTTTGTAGCTTGTGTCCAAGCCAATGATGCGGACCATGGCCGAGAGGCAGTATGTCGAGGCGTGATTGGAAGAGATGTCGACCTTCTGGTCGTCCCACAGCATGAGAATTCCCCCTCTGGTGTCATTTGCCGGCTTTTGAGCATAACTACGAAGCCGATTGCCTCCCAGGAGCAAGGCGGTGAACATATCAACATTTTCCAATTTGGTTTCTTACAGGCAAACAATGTGGCATGAGGAAGCCGCTACAGTTTCACCAACGGTATGGTCACCCATGGAGTGCACGATATGGAAGGTTTGGGCGCCGCCAAAGGTTAAATTATGTGTCAGGCTTGCCTCCCAAAACAAGGTATGGACTGCCGATAGGTTGGCCAAGCAGGGTTGGCCCAACTGTGGTTTATGCCCTCTCTGCAAGAGTGAGCAGGAGACGATCGATCACCTCCTCTTCAAATGCCGCTTCACGCTCCGGGTTTGGGAGATGCTGAAGGCATGGTTCCAACTGGACTACTTTGTTACCGGCGTGTGGCAACGCTACCTTCTGCAAAAGAGTGGTGGACACGCCTTTCTGCTAACTCCATCCCCAATAGGAAGGCGATGGCCTCCCTCGCGCTGTTAACCTCTTGGGTCATCTGGAATGAATGCAATGCACGTGTCTTCCGTCACAAGTCCGCCCCGCATCCATCCTGCTCACTCTTATAAAAAGGGATGCGGCTCTATGGGTCACTGCGGGAGCAAAAAAGTTGCGAGCAATCATGTTGGGAGAGTATGTGTTTTTAAACGTATGCTCCGTGTTATGCATCGATGCTAGAAAAATAGTCAGAAATAACACGAAAACCGCCTAAACAGCCAAGATTTCATCCCTAGTGCCCTAGCCTAAGAACGAGCATTGTATGTGACTTTGAGCTATGCAACTCTTTTGTGCGGATCCTTATTATCTGGCACTATTATACTCCCACCGCCTGAAAAAGTTTGTTCCTCAAATGCCTGGGACAATTTTTTTCGGACGGAGGGAGTAATAATTAGATTTTGAAATAATTTTCATTTCGTTTTTACATTTTCTTTAGTTGAGCATAGGTGAAATTATGCTCAAATTATATAGGAGGTGGGGAGGATCAAACCTGACCGTCCACCACTTGTGGTACTAATCCAGGCCTTTGTCTCAAATAACACCAGCACTATTTTGCTAACTTCTATTAGAATGATCAAAGTACTCATCTAAAAATAATAAGCAACGATCTCTTTTGCCGAGTTTGACCGTCGCCGGCTACCGCCGTGCAATGTTTTCGGTGTAACGGTGTTTTCAACGAGAGCAACGCACTGCGGTGAGCAGATGGCTGTGACGCGCGCCACGCCCGCGTAGGCCTCGCGGCGAAACACGCGTACAGCGACGTGCTGCCGATCGACCGCGCGTGGAATTAAGAGCATCTTCACTAGGCCCGCCCAACAGTCCCCAGAACCACTTTTTTCTGCGTAGGTTGCAAAAAATCGCTCCAGCCATGCAGAGCTGGTTTTCCGCCGGATTTGATCAAAGTTTCGGCCGGCGCTCCCAGCGTAAACCCAACGCGCTGGGGGTGGGCTGGGGGCACCGGCGCTACTTTTTCACGTGCAAATTCCTCTCTCTCCTCTCTTTCAACCTACCCCATTCCGTCGCCCACCTTCCACCGCTCCGCCACCACTGCTGCCTCCTACTCCTCCTCTACCGCACGCCGCGATCTTGACTCAAGTAAGGCAGTGAGATGAGATCAAAGCATGGCGGCCAACCACCATCTCCGCCGCCTCGCCTCCGCGTCTTGCCCCCGTCCCCGTCCCCGCTCTCTCCCGCCTCTCCAAGCCCCCTGCCCCGCCGCTCCTCCGCCTCCCGTTTTCCAGCTTCGCCTCCCCCACGGATCAGCCGGCGGCGGCCGCGAGCGCCGCTGCAGCCGAGAAGGGCAAGGCCCGGGGCGTCGTGAAGGGGGAAGACGAGCCGCATGCTGGTGATGCTGGCGCGAGGAAGGCGAGGGAGGAGGAGGATGACGGCGGCCTGGACCTCGTCCTCTGCCCCGGTCTCCCGTCGCAGTCGGCCGAGGCCTCCTCCTGCCGCCGCCCGCCAGGGGGCGTGCCTCTGCGGCCTCCTCTCGCCCTTCCCTCGCCGATGACGCCCAAGACCAGGTCCTCCCCCTCCCCGTTCGCCATATCCAAGACACAGAAGAAGGGGATGGCGACCTCGCCCTCCGCTTGCTCGCCGCCGTGGGCCGAGGCGCACCACCGCGTGGCCGGGGCCTCCTCCTCGACATCGTCACCGGCCCGGCCGCTTCCTCGCTGCG